AAGACAGACTTCTGAAGACCCTGTTATAGCAGCAGCTATACCCTGCCTGACCCAGTTTTCTTGTTGTCCTTCCACTGCTTCAGAGCAAAGGAAGTGCGAGAGCTAAAATGTCTAAATCTCTGAGACTTCCCAAGGCACTGGGTGGACACACGTGGTCCCTTGTCAAAAGGCCAGGGTTTAAATGCCTAAATTGGATGGATCTCACTGGGAAATCAGGCACCTAAGCAGTAGGGAAGTACTAAAATACCTTTTCATTTTTCTTAAGGTAAAACGTTCATGTTCTTTTTGAGCACGTTCCAGCCAAGCAGGACCTGGGTAGATGTCACCAAGGCACTGAACAGCATCAGCGAGAACCATACCAGTGTCTTCTTTCCAACTGCCAGGTTGCGGTGTGGCTCTGCAGGCAAGAAGTGTGCTGCTGTCCCACTGCTCCTCTTCTCTTTCCTCCTGGAGAAACCCACCAAGCAACACCACGGGTGCTTCTCTGCGCTCCTGTACCTGCTGAATCCCTCCAGGAACCCACCTCTGCTGCTCCAGAGTCCTGCTGGGGAGGAGGTACAATCACTTGTAAGCCTGATGCCCTGCTACTTGCTTTGGCCAAAAGCCGAGCTTTACTTGAGGCAGCACAGTGGGCCAAGACATGAAATTAGGAACAAGACGGGACTGATAGCTGCTCTTAGCATTTCAGGTTAAAAACACAGTGGGACCAAGAGCTACAGCCAAGTTTCAGGCAAGCGGAGACGACTGCAAAGCATCTTTTCCTCTGCGCAGGGCTATGCCAAGGCCTGCCCAGCCTTGGAAGGTGAAAGCTGGTCCTGGCAACTGCTGACAACTCTCCATCTGCAAAGAACCGGCTGCTCCGCCGGCGAGGCAGAGCCACATCGCCTAAGGAGCGGCGAGGGAGCTGGCAGCAGCGACGGGTTCATCCATCCCAGCCCTGGCCTGCTTGGGCCTGTGCTCCGGAGCCAGGCGCACAGCGACCTCAGGGTGAAGGAAGTTCATGACAACGCCAGTTTAGTGCTCACCTCTGCAAGAGGACAAGGCAGACGTGGAGGCGATGCACCTTCCCAACCCCGACCACTTCAGCACAGGAATCAAGCGGGTCTTGGCAGAACATACCCTGCACACTTCCTCCCCATGCCGTACTAGCTGCTGGAATCCTCTTTTGGTTTGGGGGAGAAACCTCCAAGATCTCTCTCATTCCTGGTCTCTCGATTCAAGCCGTAGCTATTTCTGAGGTTGGATTGACCAACCTTTCTTTGCCCTGTTGGTTGAGAAATTCCACTGCTGTGGATTGCAGTCAAATGCAGAGAAATTGGGAACAATTCCTCCAGATTTCAGACATTTCCTGTCTTAAAGTGCTTGCAAGGGAGTCAAGATAGTAAATCCCCAATATCCCAGAGCTGGAACTTCAGTCCAACCCATCACCTTCCTTTGGGAACTGATGTTCTCACACATCAAGAAAACCTCCAGTACCACGCTCCCAACAGAGCAGATACCCCAGACCAGCACAGCAAACTGCAGGCAGACTTCTGAACCAAACACACTGCCGCCTTCAGCAAAAAAAAAAGCAGGCTAGTCAGTACTGCACGTACACATTAACCAATTCATTCATCTGCACAGTTAAACCCACTGCAGTTTCCTTTACACTGCTATACAGAAAGAAGGCCAGGAATCACCTAAAAACCAGAACAGTTCCTGGTAAGACAGAGAAGACTCGAAATAGCTGAGGGGGTCTTTGTATTCTTGCTGGCCGAGGAGATTTGTCTAGTCCACAAAATAGCTATTCTACATCAAATCAATGTCAAGTGGAATCTGTCTGTGCTTTGAAATGATGCCAGGCATGCTTTGGGTGTCAGGTAGTTTAGCAGTAGATAGTGTTTCACTACAGTAATCGTCTTTTCCACTATTTCATACAAGATCTGGTTCCTCTGCTAGCTCAGGCCTCGGTAACTGGCCACTTCCATCGACTATTGGAGTTACAGTGCTCCATCAATCTTCCAACATAACCCAATTTATTTCACAGCTCAACATAAAATTTCAGTTTAATGTTAGCCATCCAAAAAGCCTGAAGAACCCCTCTGGACTATTCTTTACTCTGATCTCTCAGGAAAAGCACACAGAGAGGACCAGATTGCTCAAGGTAATTAGAATTCATTGTAAAAACTCACTCCCCAGTCAGGCGCGGCAGGTTTGGAGAGAATACACATTTTTTTCGTACCGCAGGTATCACCCCCCCCTGTTGTACAGACAAACTGTGACAGAAGCGTAAAGAAGGAGCGATTCCAGGTCGCCGTGCCCTGCCAGACGGGAGGATGCCAGCCGCAGCGGGTTGCGGGCAGGGCGGGCAGGGGTGCATCACCCTCTAGTGTGCGCCCGCGGCAGCGCACGCTGCTGGGATCGTGCGCACAGAGCTGCGTAGAGACAGCACTAAAAAAACGGATTAAAAAAGACAGAATTCTCTTACAAAGTCCAGCTGTACTTCACCCGGCAGCTGTGCCGCAGGACACCGCCATCCGACACCAGGGCACCCGGAGGAGCAGCACAGCGAGCTCCTCCGAGTGGGAACCCCGGAGCGGGACGGGGATGCGCTGGCCCTGGAGCAGGCGGAAAGCGAGCAGCTCCGGCCAGCTCCTGCCGCAGGTTCTCATCCCACAGGAGCCTGTGCAATTCCTGGCACCGGAGCGAGGCCGTTCTCCTCTCAAAGAACGGAAACGGACCAAGCTGTTCACTACTAAAACAGTGTTTTCTGAAAAGTATCTCCGCTTATCGCACCTTCGTGCGGAAGGCAGGCCAGGAGAGCACAGCCTGGCAGCCCGTCCACTCGATCTCCCCTCCTCGGCTGGAGCAGCCACCAGCACAGGTCATGGCCAGTTTGTGCTCCGGGATTCAATTTCTTTGTGGCTTTAAAAACCTGGCGAAAAATCACCAGCGTGCATCTCAGTACCGTGGGTACAGGCTGAGACACAAGAGGTTTTTCTACCAAGTAGTAAATCCCAGTCAGCCGGGATTAAAAGGAGTTTGTGCTGCAGGAGAGCACCAAGTCAGCGTGTGGTATAAGGGAAACCTTTAGCGACAGAGAGAATCCCCAACACAAACCTAAAGTAACCTTTGAGTCTGAGCAGAGCATGGGCCCGAGTAGGTTCTTTGAGAAAGGTTCGCCAGCAGCACGGGATGTTCTGCTTAAGTTACCATGACAGCTTAAACAGTTTGAAAACAAAACTCTGCAAGAAAGACCCTGTTGTTATACCCAGTTCCTGTTTCCAACAAGCCTGATGCCAGAAGTGCTGAGACCTGCCAAAGGCAACACTCACCCCAGGAGCTGGAAGGCAGACGAGGGTGCACAAAGGCAGCATGGCCTAGAGGACAGCGCCCTGTCTCATACACAAACCCAACCCACCTTTCCAGTTCTCCCACAAAGCTACAGACAAGCCGCTGCATAAAAGGAGCGATAAAGCACCCAAGTGACGAGGAGAAGTGACACCCACTTTCCTCATGTAGCTCTTGAGAACTCGGGAGGAAGAAAACCACGTAAAGAGAGAGTCAGCAGCTTTGGGGAGGGATTTCACCCTCTGCTTAACTAGTGCCCATTCCTTTTTTTGGTTGTTTTTTTGCTGACACAGCTTCAGGAAACAGCAAAGCCTCATTGGCATGACTTGGCACTGGGAGTGCCGAGTCCCAGGAAATAAGGGATGGTGTGGAAAACCCCCCCATCATATCCAGCAACATGACAGACAAGAAAGCTACTGGCATGGCCGGCACGGATGGGTAAATTCCAAGGGTTAATTGTGCCTGACAAACCCAAGAACCTTCTACGAAGACACATCTGGCTTGGGGGATGGGGGGAGCGCAGTGGGCAGTTACCTTGAAACAGTTTTTGGCACAACCGTCCGATACGGTTCAGACAGCTGCACAGAAACCCGGCGGGACACCGGGCTCAGAGGGTTGTGGCCAACAGCACGAGGTCCAGCTGGCAGCCCGTTACTTAGGGCACTCCTCAGGGGTCACTGCTTGGCCCAGTGGTGTTTAATGCCTCTGCTCACCACCTGCAGCCAGAACAGGCCCTCGGCAAGTCTGCAAGCGATACCCAGGTGTGGGCACAGCCGGTACGCGGGGCAGGGCGCTGTTCAAGGGGACCCCCCTCCACCGGCGGGAGAAACGGCCCGGCAGAAGCCACACAGGACTCAAAGGTACCTACAGAGCCCTGCTCTTGAGCAACCTCACCGAGGCTGGTCCTGCTCTGCAGCGGGGGGTGGACCCCTGACCCCCAGAGTGCTTCACTACCCCAACTATTCTGCAAGTCGGAGTAATTCACGTAGGCAGCCTCCCGCTGGCAGGGGACTGGCAAGATTCTTTTCAGGCATATTGTACCTGCCAAAATCAGCACAGTCCATTGTAGACCCACACAACTCATCCTTCTCCCATGCCCACCTTCCTGCACACTCTACACGAGGCAGCAATGAGAGCAGAGCAGGAACTGACTGTAGCAGCACAGACAGCGACACCACCGAGCCATGAAGAACAGGCTGTTTTTCAAAGACAGAATTTCCCTCCACCTACACTCAAGCCCTATTGTCACTGGGGAATATGCTAGTCTTGGTTTTTTTCACTGCCTCCATTACTCATTTCAAGCTACTCCTCTGGAGAAAAGTAGGGAGAAAAGGGGAAAGAATGATCCAGTTTCTGCCCTTCTTTGTAAGAGCCTACCAGAGATGGCTGTTGACTGCTGCTTGGTCTCGTGGCAGTGGTGGACATCTCTGACTAACGCAGCGCGTCTTACCACGTACCAGAAGAACCTCAAACAGGAAATTGTATCAGTGGAGCTTATCTCTTCTGACATTTCCTTCTGTTGAGCACCTTCTCCAAAGACCCAGAGGAGCAAACTAACAGCTGAACCAAGGTCAGCCCTCAGGTCTTCACAGCGCCTGCTCAACCATAATGGAGTTCAACACTCATTCATCAGTTTTTAAAGTACAGTTTAAAAACACAAGATGCCAAGCTTAAAAATATGCATTTTCTTTTTGAAAAAACCAAAAACGTACAGTCAGATTTTAAGTGGATCTACAAGACGACACTGCTATCTTTAAGAAAAGTCAACTTTTGCAATGCACCGCATACAGAGTTTTCTAACCAGCAAGAGCCAGTGAGTTGGGTAAACTTTCCTGAAAGAGCTTCAGTGGGGTTTTTTTGTTGTTGTTTGTTTCCACCCTGTAGGCAGAGACACCTGAAAGGCAGCACAGTGCCTTCACGCTGCAGCTGCGGAGCACGAGGTTAGTTCTGTCCCACTCCTGCGCTGCAGACGTAGCTCAGCGTGAGGCTGGTGTGGGCACAGTGGGCAAGGGCAGTTCCATGGAGGGAGTCTCAGTCACTTCGGCTGGACTTGGCTTGCGAAGCTCCAGTTTCTCAGTGAGTTGATTATAAAGCTCCTTCACAGCTTCCCCACTCTGCAGAATGAGAATGAGGGAGGGGAGAAGCAGGAGAGTCACACTTCATCCCCGCTGCTCCCAGCCAGCACACTAAGCAGGCCATGACCCTGCGTGTGTTAACACAGGCCAACGCAGAAAGGAAGTTACAAGGTAACCGAGCCACAGCTTGGTACACTCGGAAAGCACCGCTCATGTTCCCTTAGGCACTGTCTGGAAAGGCAGTTGCTTCCATTTGCAATGCATTTGCCCTTTCTCACGCTTCCCTTCTCACCTGCTTGGTGGGTTCCAAAGCCTTCTGGAGAGACTCCAATTTGGCAGGCGCCACTTTGTGATGCAGGTGAAGCAGCAGCCTTAGCACATGTCTATGTACGTTCTCCTTTCTGCAAAAAGCAATTTTAAAGCAGAGTAACTGACAAACACACACAGAGAGAACAAGAAGGCTCTAGCAACAGCGCCAGAATAATTCACACCCCCACAGGCTGGCAGCTTTGTTATGATTTCCCAAAACACCTGAGAATTGTAGCCTGCCAGCTACAGAGTGCTAACCCTGCCTTAAACTTTCAAGTAATTCATGTAATTATTCAACAGGAGTGGACTAAGTGCAGCAGCCAGGAGGAAGGAGGGGGAGATTTTAAGCACAGAGCACAGCACGTGGCAGCAGCTGGTCTCTGTTGGACAGGCCACACGCCCATGCAGAAGGATGTTTGTGCCTCCATACGGGGAGGAAGTGGCAGCAGCAGCAGCACACGCTGCCACGTCTGAACAGCAGTTCTAGTCACTTCTGGGGAAGCCTCCTGGAGGTGAGATCTGCTCTCACCAGTTGAACCACACGGACTTAACCACATTAACAGATACAAGCAGATTCTCTGTGTGCAGCTGACACTGCAGAGCTAAGCGAGCTCTTCACATTCAGAGCTACTGCAAAGCATGAAGGATATTGTCTTTTGCAATCCCAACTTATGAATAATGAATTCCAATTTAGGTAATAATTCATGGGCAACACTTAACTTTGCTGATAAAAACTTGACCACAAAACATAAGCCTTTCCTTACAGAAAACCAGCACCAGGCTATTATTTCCACTGTATGGGAAGAGTTTGCTGAACTATTAAACTGTAGTTTGAAGTGGTATAACCTGGTATCCCATAAACTTACTTTCCCTTGAGGAGTACCAGATTTACCTTGAGCAGGCAGTGAGAAAGAAGCCATCAAAGAGACTGGCGCAGAACTCCTCGAGCGCAAATTCGTCACTCAGCAGCGTGAGGTTACCAGTAAGCAGATGCAGAAAAATATCACTGAAGGCCAAGTCACTGAACGTCTCAACTACACAACATGAAAAGGAAAGAGACTGAGACTGACAAGGATGTGCCGCAACCTGACTACCCAGCAGATGTTCCTGCCGAAGACTTTGCAGTGAGATTTCCTTTTCAAACAGGTAGCCCAGGCAGGTGGCTTTGATCTTTCAGACATAAAAGACGAGGAGCAGAGGGGTGAGAACAACATGTAGAAAGCCCCTGCTTCCACCAAGGCTGAAGTCACGGAGTAGCTCGCTCCTGCCCAAAATCACAAAGTCCCCTACTATCCTTCACCATCCTCTGTGCACGGTCACACCCACCTCCTTGCACTCCTCAGACCCCGTAGTCAGCAGACACAAGTCCCTCACCAGTGGAAAACTCACCCAGAGCTAACAGTTCAGCCACGGCTTCCAAGAACACCACAGCTGGGGTGAGGGAGAGGGAAGTGAACCCCTGCCTGAACCCCTGCCACCGTTCCCGGGAGCTGCAACTCCTAAGATTGCTTCAGAGCTCTCATGCAACTCACCCCAGAGAAGCCAGGGCAGAAGGTAATCCCCGGGGAGAATTTAAGGCTGCGTTCAGCCCTGTGTTGTCACAGGTTTTTTCACCACACAAAGCCAAGCCCCAAGAATTTCTGGGCACCTGCAATTACTATGAGCAGTGGCAGAATTAAGCCACCTGCTCTTTTACCTTTCAGATTCACTCCAAACAGTTCTCAACTGATCTCATTGTTAATACAGCCTTTGATCTAAGGAACTGCCAGCCTTCAGCCACTGGCCCCAAATTCTGGGATGAGCAGGAAAGTATCCCAAACGCAGACGAAACCAAACACCTCCACAGGGCCTTACAACTAAGTGACCAGAAGAGGCAAAGGCAGAACATTATATCTTTGACTCTGAAGCCACTTCCACTCCAGGTTTACTTGCCTCCTGGGTGTCCAGTACAAGGCAAACAGCTATGGAATACAAGACGAGACAAAAACTTACCTAGTGCTGGCAGGAGCCTAAGGAAAGCATTCCTGTTCCTCTGTTTCGTGATGTGAAGGATGTAATACAGCCCAATCTCACAAGCTATTCTGTTCTCCTGCAAGAATCTGTTATGGCAGAAGCAAAAGTCTCTTAATAAAGCTAAAACAGACTTTTTTTTTTTTTTTTAAGAGGGTTTAAAATACCGTTGGATAGCAATCAAGCAGTTACAGCAGTGGCTAACCTCAAACCCACTGAAGAGCAGCAGCTCAGTGACTGAGTAGATGATCGTCACCATGTTCACTACCCCGCTCCAGGAAAAATGGCCATTCAGCAGACATTGCACTGTCTCACAGTCAAAACAGCTGAGTTTGATAGTGAACATTTATAATAGCATCAGTGATAAAAGTGCTCATTCAAGACAGGTTTTAGAAGAAGGCCAAATACTCAGAAATGATACAAAGCCCAATATGGTTTTGTTTTACCTTCCCAAAGGTCAAATATCAAAACTGTCAGAGGAGATTACAACTACCAGGATACAGCACTCCAGATTCTGGCACACAAATAAGGATTGTGCTGGAAATTAGTGCAAGATCTGAATACAACATAGCACACACAAGTTTTATTTATCTTTTTGACGTCCCTGGAGCGATGGGTTATCAACAGAGAATGAGTGTCTGTGTGACAAAAATGCCAGCTCTACAACTTACAATAGCACTCTTCAGAGTCCAGCACAGGCACTCGTCCAGCTGCACCCAAATATCACTCAAACACTCAGCATTTGCTGCTTGGGAAGCTACAGAAGCAGCATATTTCAAAGCAGCAACAGCAAAAACTTTCATATTAAATCTGCCAAAAGAATGGTCATTAGAAATAGTAATTTATTTTTTTTAGATAAATTTTATTTGAGGAATCATGAGGGAAATCTTTTCTGCTGAAGAAACACTTCTGGCTTGATTAACCAGGACTAAAGCCTCACTCCAAGAAAGCCTTCATTTTACCACATGCAGTGTTTTTTCCTGTCAGTATTGGCTGGCTCCTTGGTGTTTTACGCTGGTACCAAGACTACACGTACAAGCTGGTGAGGCAGGTCACGTACTTGGTGAAAGCTTCAGGAATGGTGCTTGGGTAGGGAATTGGCCCCTTCTCCTCCGAGGGCAGCTTCTGATCTACGTTGAACGTGTGGTCATCCACCACAAAAGACATCAGCATAGGCAAGAACTTTGTGATCAACTCTGCTTCCTTAGAGGGAGGGAAGAACAGAGGGAAAAGAACAACGCTTTCATCAATCAGCTCAAGCCATGCAATGGTCCTAGAGCCCTGTAACGAACAGCGAGGCAACACGAGCCCCATCCTGCACTTCGGAACACAAGCTTTCAGGCACCCACTTCCAGTCAAAATTCTTGACTAATTCACTTCCCCATGTTCCACTGGAAAATTGTACTTCATCTCCTCTACAGAAACACTCCTGCTCAGATCCTGTCTTTTTGACAATCGCGTAGCATTTCTTCTGAGAGATCTTTTCCAATGCTCCTGCAAGCACTGCATGTTCAGGATGGCACCAAACTGCTTTTATCAAGGATTACAAATGATTTTGTTCATCCCCTAAACCGACAGGCATCAACACATTGCCAGAACAGCAACAAAGAGCATCTCCTCGCACAAGGCTGACCAACCTATGCTGTATCAGATTCATGGAGAGGGAGGTTACAGCTTGTCGCAATCACAAAGAAAACAGATTTTAAATTCAGATTTGGAGACTCCCTTTAGGAAAAGCGTTCAGTTCCTTTCATGACAGCACCTCTGCAAGTCAAATCATGGTGCTACTCCTGGGAGTTCTGGTCACCCTCACTTTCAATCTCAGCATTAACGCACACGCTTCCTGGGGCAGATTTAAGCGTGCAATCAGCCAGTAATATAGATTTTGGAGACTTCCGATGTCCCTCTGTGTAGGCAATTGCTGCTTTACAGTTCAGAACAGAAACAGCAAATTTCTCTTCACTGTGCAACACCATGGCTGTACATACCTGCTCCCAAACTACACTAGGGCTGCCTATCAGCTGACTGTGGCACTACACAAAACTGCTGCAACCTGGAAGGGAAAATATTTTTCATGTCAACAAAAAGCTGCTACACTGCTACCAGCACTTCAGACCAGCCTCTGCTTTCCTCACACAAGATCTGTCTTACAAACTCATTAGTGGTGTACAAGTTCCCAGGAACAATGAGCAACCAGGGCAGATTTAACAGAGGTACAGTTTCACTTTAAAACAGCAAGGGCCAGGCACTGGTGTAAATAAAAAAGCAGGCAAATGAAGCTTACAGCTTGTCCACTTGAGCTGCTGCTCTGCGACCACTTACATGTGTTTTCTAGGAAAATCACGATGAGAAGTATCCAGAATGAACATTCAATCAGGGATGCAATAAAATGAACAAGCCTAAATTCGTTTAATTGTGTTAAATTACACGCATCAAAATGACTCACCATTTTTGGTTCCTTGAAGACTTGACTGTCAATCATGTCCCAGGCCCCCTGTCCCAAAGACAGCATCCTAAGGAGCAGCAGCAGATCCGGGCTTTCCTCGAGTTTTAAGGGGAGGAGAAAAACAGCTATTTTGATCTTCCACAAGTTGCACATATAGATTTTCAATTAAAAGTAGTGGTTTACATTCAAAGACCTCCTGGATTAGCAGCTTTATCAAAGACTGCTAGAGGAATTCAGTTCTCCAATTTAATTGGCAAGCAATTCCTCAAATGGGAATTAAATAAAAAGACACACCTGAGGGTTTGTGGGTTTTCATTACATTTTCTAATGCATCAAGAAGCATGCAGCTGATCTGATCACAACACTGTTTTTAAACATGTCCAGCCAAATTAGCATGCTGAAACATAACGTGTGACAGGGCAAAGAAAGTCACCTCAACAGAAGAAAGAGAAAGCATGTGTAAGGATGACAACGGTTTTCATTTATATTGTGCCCTGAAACCCAAACAATTTTCAATCTTAAACTGTCATGAGGAAGTTACTCAATCTAACAATAAAATTTAACAACTCGGGGATCAAACCAGCAAATGCCTCACACCGTTCAGACACCTGTAAGGCTACCCTCCTTCAGCACCTAAGCACCTCCTGCAGACACGACCTGCAGGAACTGGATTATATCGCAGCCAACAGACCGGAGCAGTGTGAACTAATCCATCACATTGACCGCGAGAGGGACAAAAGGCCGCTGCTGTCCGGCAAATGGTTGGAAGGACAAAGCAGGGAGGCACATACTCTATAGGCGATCCACATACACCCAGCTGTTCGGATAGAACGAGCCATGCAGAGAATCCATTGTCAGTCTGGAGAGCTCCAAAATGCCCATCTCCAGACAGCGCTCCTGCAGAGCTCTAAGGGACGTGCTGCGGATGGATAGGCAGCATCGCATGTCCTGTATTTCAACTTACACGTGCCTTTGAGAACGTAATCATGCTCTTCTGCAGGGCCAGCCCTTCGTGGAGGAATGCTGTTCAGTTAAGGCTATAGTTCAGGTTAGGTACACAAGCTGCACCACTCACCCTGGGTAAGGTGTCCTGCCCAACCAGGTCTTGCAGGTGCCTTATGGTACTCAAGGCTAAGGTGTTAATGGCAAAGGGGTCACACAGGATCATTGATAAGTCCCTGAGAAGCAAAAAATCAAATCACATCATACATAACAACCCACCCCACCGTACAGTTCCATATCCAGCTGTAGGACACCAGCATGTTTCACTAGAGTAAGATGTTTGAGCCCATTCTTTGTTGCCATCCTGTCAACTACCATATGTAACAGAGTAGTGTGTGCATGTGTACACTGTGTTGTTGGGAACACACACACACTGCTGTGCTTAAGAAGAGAGGTAGACACAGGGCAAGTACTGTAACAACACCCTTACTAAGATAATGTAAAAACCTGAATTTGTCTTTTGTTACCTGCAAGTGTCCACCTGATGATCCTTCTCCCGCCTTGTAAAACCACCTTGAATGTCACCTTTTCAACTTGAAAAAGCATGTTGTCTGAAATGATTACTAAAGGTCTTCTGCACTGAAATCAAGCAGGAGATCTCCCACAGCCAGTTACCAGGCCACAGGGGAGACTCGAGGGTGGTAACATGAACGGTACAAGCTATGTCACCAGAACGTGCCTGGCTACGCCCTAGTGCATTAATGCTCACAAACCTACTGGATTTGACCACACAGAAGAGCTTCTGGCTGTTAGCTGGCTCTAGGGAAGAATTAACCCCTACAATACCTGTCAGATGTTGTGACTGCAGGTCACCCATTTTCAGTTTCTCAATCAACAGCCCAAGTGCCTCACCCCAACACTTGTTCTTGTCCTTTCTTCACTCCATCCAGAAACCCTTGCAACTCCCGAGCTCTCTTGTTGTCCACAAACTTCTCCCGAATGCAAGCATCAAGGCACCAGGTGAACTGTTACAAAAAGAAGAAAGCTTTATGAGTGACAGCAACTCAGTAAACCAGCAATAAAATACACAATGCCAGAGAAAACAGGCTCTAGTGACCTCCAAATATCTGGAATTAATAACTTGATATACTTTGATGTGGTAGCAAGCTGGTCACAAATACAGAGGAGGTCAGAGATCTCGATGCAAGTTAACCTGGGGAGACTTCCTCCCCTCCTGAGAAAGGCATTCCCTGGCAGTCGGGGAAGAGGCAGGTGTAACACAGACCACTGCCCAGCACACCTGATCAACGGGGACTGACACACAGGAGGCTGACAAAGCAGCAGCATCACTTAGCAACAGTACTATGGGATGGTTTAGCCATTGCAACAGCACTCCCACCCTCTAAGCAGGGGACATTAACAGTGGAAGTGCTTCTGCTCTTGAGGTGTATCATCAAAATGGAAAAAGGCAGTTAAGTGAAATGCTTTACCTGACCTAAAAATTGAGGGCTTTTTTCCCCTTTCAGAAAACACATATTTCCCCTCAACATTTCAGCTGTCAAAAAAGGCCAACTTGCTGAATTTTCTGAAATGCTTTCATCGTGCCTTCCTTTCCTTACAGCAGCCACTGCATTTTGCAGCAGCAAAACGAGGTCACTGAAAATGATCTGCAACTTGACCAAGAACTGCTCTTTTTTACTCAGTCACTGTCTGTATACTGATCTTGTGACACTTGACCAGAAGACATTAAAGACATGCAGTAACATCATCACTCTAGGACATATTTTCTATAAGATGAATACACAAAAATCTTCAGAGAAAAAGCTTTGTTCTAGATCAGAGTGATGCTGGCCACAGACAAAGGGCCAGTAACAAGATCCTGGTGTGACATTAACATCACATCTGTCACCCCCAATACTTCATTAATTTAGTATTTTCTTATCATTCAAGATCCAAGGTATTTACCATTACACACACAGCTGACTGACAGATGGAGCATATCACACCAGGCACAACAGGGAGGGAAGCAAGATTCGGTTAAGAACCTGGGGCTTGCTAATGTTTGTAGTTATTTTTTGCAGCATCTACCTAGGTCAGATTACACACAGATTTAACGCTGCATGAGCACCATAAATTTGAATGATCTACAGGTTATGAAGTGAAAGCAAGCTGCTGGTTAACCAAGATGAAATTTTCACCTGAGGCTCCAAGGAATATAAGATGACTTTTGGATTCAAGGTCTGAACTCTATTCACAGAGAGGAGTCACCTTCTCTGGGCTGAAGTCCTGCAGGGCAGCAGGTATGCACAGGAGTGGGCGAAACACAATTCTCAAGTAATACTCCTATCTGCCCCACATGATTAATACCTTATGACAGGGGTCAACGGTGCAGATTTCACTGATTTCCAGGTCATGCAGCGACATCAGGAGCTCTGCCCGTAGCGTGCAGTAATGCACATTCCTTGTCCGAAGGAACAAGGTCCTCAGAAACTGCAACACCATATCATAGAGCTTCACATTCTTCCCAATCATCTGGGTCAGCTTTTGAACCACCTAAACTCAAAGCGGAAAAAACGTGCGCTCAGTACCAAAAGATACGGTTACTTCACACACACAAAATGTAAATTAATTATTTTACACGATTTATCAAGAGTGAAACATTCACATTGACATGAGTTCCTGAAAAGGTTATACCAAAGTTTCCAAGAGCATTTGTTCAAGACACATGCACCAAATCTTTCATAGCCATAAAGAAAGAACAAAGAACGTCAAGAAAAGGCTCTCTTGCAAAAGGAAACTGAAGCATTTGTAAAATAAGGTGCAAAAAAGACCAACCCAGTAAGAAGCAGCACCTGTTACTGAGGAATATAATTTATAATTATTGTAACATGAACAAAACTCACTTTTCTTTGGAAGTCTTTTTGTATTTCTACCTACGGGCATGAGAATGAAGGTGGAGGCTTCTACTGTTCTGGCTGGGATAAAGTTAATTTTCTTCACAGT